TTGGGAATGAAAAATTGAAAGTTTTAAAAAAATGATAAAATTTTTAATTTTGTTTTTTTTTTTTTTTTTTTTTTTTTTTTTTTTTTTTTTTTTTTAAAAAAAAAAAAAAAAAGACTAGTCGATTTTCAGAATCGTTCCAGTATGAATACAAAGGATTTTAATGTTTAAAATAACCACAGCATAGTATATCTTTCATTCGTGTTATTTAGTTAGTTTTGTATAAAGGTCTTTTTAATCAATGTGTTAAAATTTGTAAAGTTATAAAATTTGTTAACAGATTTATGAATAGTACATCAGTCTTTCGTTTTAATCCGGCTACCATTTTTTTGGGCGACGACGCTATGTAAGTAGTTAACATAGCTCGGAGATCGGACGGGCCCTTATTTGCAATAATTTTTTATTTTGGGCCGCTATATGTAAGAATTTTTATTTTGGGCTTTTATGTGTAAATACCCCCTATATTTTTAATATCAGATAAATGGCCAAAAAAAAACAAAAAATCCCAAGAAAAAAATCATTCATCATCATACTTAAAATAAATAACTAATTGCTACAATTGATTTAATTGAAAATGAAATTTAAATATGATAGCTAATTTCTACAACTGATTTATTTGAAAAATGAAATTTAATATGACAACTAAAGGTTTTAAAAATAAAAATTTAATATAAAAACATCTTAATCGGATTGTAGATAAATTATTTTAATCCTTGTTGACTTAAGTAATATGTCAAGTCCCAAGTTGTTACACCTGAATAAATACCATGGGTATCCACTTTAACTCCAGTTGCCTTCGACTTAAGGTGCATAATAAAAGGCACACTTAATGTTGCCTTCTTAATAGATGCTTCAGCAAAAATTTTTGTTCTTTTACTAGCTTTAATGGGGAAACTTGCGACATATGTCTTTTCAAATTCTGTCGATTTGCCAAAAGTCCAGGTCTGGCTAGTTGAAGCTTCAACACTAAAACCAGATTCTGCTACACCTGGGACTCCAGATTTAAATTCCATTCCTACTTTAACAGTAAATCCAGATGAATATTCAAAGGTTGACGTCTGCTTTACACTCTCATTTACATCAGAACTAAATTGTTGTTCTAAATCTGTATCATTCAGTAAAGTTTGTCTCAGAAGCATAACGGGTGCTGTATTTGCGATTTTTCCTTCATCAATCTTGTACTCGATGCTTTCAACGACCATATCTTCGAATATAAAAGTCCAGTATTGGTCGTCATATTGATCACCGCTGTCAAGATAATGCCACAATTCTGATCTCGGTGAAAACCTAGAAAAGATAGACCATTTGGTAACATAACTCTCAATTCTAAAATAACCAGAACGTTTTCCTGTTCCTGGAACCAAGACCCAGTATTGGTCGTCATATTTATCACCACTGTTCGGATTATGACCCAACTGTAATTCTGGGTGGAACCTAGAAAATATGGACCATTTAGTAACAACATTCTCAATTCTGTAATAACCGGAACGTTTTCCTGTTCCTGGAATCAATGTCCAGTATTGATCCTTGTATTCATCACTGCTTGGATTATGACCCAATTCTGATTTTGGAGAGAACCTAGAAAAAATAGCCCAGTTGGTTTTATAATTTTGAAGCCGGAAGGTAAGTTCCTTGGGAGGTATATAAAGTGCCATTTTATTCTTCGTTACAAGCTAAACTTGATCAAAGAATTTGAAATAATGAATCTTAGAAAACTTATTAGGAATTGCCTATAAATATATTGCAAAAAGGTTTCTTTTGATATCTTCTGGGAATAAATCGTACGCATGTAATTATTAATGTTGGTAGCTTTATATAACAATTTTGTTAAAAAATTTTCGCTGTGCTAAACCTGTTATTGAATATGGAAATACCAGTACTGGTCAAGTGTAATGTATTGAACCTAGCTGCCGCACAAAAAATGCGCGGATGATCCTCGATTTTGATTGGCTAACGGCTGTAGATCTGCAAAATTTTGGTCCGCATTACATAATTGTTTACTCAATTCTGGCCGGAATTAACTTTTTAACTTTTTC